CTCTCCCTCCGAGTCTCTGACTTTTACTTTGGACAGGTCTTAAAAATCTTTTCGTCGCCGATCTTAAAGGCCGAGGTGGTATGTATTCGATGACCATGTCACAAAGATATGATGGTGCAATGTTGTTGACGCACTTAAAAACTAAGAACAATTATTTTGTACTGAATTCGTGCTTTCACCGTGAGCCAATGTAGTTGAACTAGCATTGGTGTGTTATATGCTCTTTGAGAGATTTCTTTAAAATTATGCCTGCAGCTTGGTTCTGGAGTCGCTGTAATCTATTTAACGTTTCAGTGGGAAGGTTTCCAAACAAAGAATTGCAGTAGTCTAGACGTGAAAGGACGAAAGAATTGATGAGGGATTTGATGGAATCAACACTAAGATATGTTGACATTTGTCCTATTCTGCGTAGTTCTAGATAAATTACCTTACATAGATGGTTTATATAATGGTGCATGGAGAGTTTGCAGTCAAAATAAACGCCTAGACTTTTCGCTTTCTCTGTGAAAAAGATGTTATCATTCCCAATACATATATGGTCAAAATTACAAAGCAATATCCTTGGTTTGGCATTGCAAAACAGAACTTCGGTCTTATCATCATTCATTTTAAGTCTGTTTGATATACACTCTTGTATTTAACACCTCTAATCTTCTGGCGCTCAAATGACCTATGCAGTTGCGAGCGCCGTAAAACTCTTGCAAAAAACAAACAAAACTACGGTTATGTGACATAATGCAGCTGAAAGCAGGAGACACGCGAAAAAAATATGTTTTCTCCAAGTCAGGCTTGGAGAAACTATGGCCCGCCATCTAATGATATTTTATCTCATGAAATGCCCTTAGTGACATAATTATGCTTCGGTGTTAGCTTAAGTCTCACATTAGACAGCTTCGGTATTTCAACCCATTTCACCCAACTTTATTCTGCTTGGCCCCCGACTTATTATATCATCATCATCATCATCATCATCATCACCATCATCATCATCATCATCATCATCATCATCATCATCATCCAGTGCCAAATCTGCGACAGACATCGGTGATCATGATTCTCCATTCATTCTTTTGCTCGGATGCTCTAAAAAAGGCTACGTTTCCCTGATTTTTCCCGATTACCCATTTTTTAGGTTCCCCAAGTAGATTTTTCTGGGCCTACCCCTGCCTCCTTTGTCTTCAAGTTTGCCAGTGAGAGCTAGATTTCAAAATCCTTATGTCTATTCAGGTGTCCCAAAAACTGCATTCGTCGTTTCCTGACTTTTAAAAATATTGAGCGTCCCATGTGGGCTTCATCAAGCACTACCTCATTTGATTTCTTTTCCTTCCACGATACTCTTAGCAGTCTCCTAAGAAACCACATTTCTATTGCTTCTATTTTATTTTCACTGTCTATGGTGATTGTCCAGCATTCACAGCCATATAGAAGGGCTGACTATAGATCTACATAGCATTTCAGAACTTTCATTTTGGTGGTCATGGAGATGTTTCTATTTTTCAGGATTTGACTCTTTTTATTGAAACTAGCCTTAGCCACTGTAATTCTCCGTTTTATTTCTGTGGAACATTTGGCATCAGATGTTATCGTATATTCTAGATATTTAAACTGTTTGACTTGATTGATCTTTTCACCTTTGCTAACAAAATTACAACTAGGATTTGCTTATTATAATATAAGGACTATTTATCCTGCTCGCAACTTTGACCAGCTTGCCCAGGTCTGCTCTAAGTGGAATTTGATCTGATGTCGTTCCCATTAAAGCTACCCCTCCCCCCCCCAAAAAAAAAACACCCCAACAAAAACAAAAACAAAAACAACAACGAAAAACTCAACAACAACAACAACCCCCCCCCCCCCCCCTTAAAAAACCAAAACCAAACAAAACCAAACTAAAACTTCGTAACACTGCAGACACTGGTGATGCCATTGATGTTCGTGCACATGTCTCACTTTTTAAATCAATAAATAAACCCAGTTTTTTTCTGGGAGCTATAGATATATGAAACCTTTTCTTTAAAATGATCATCTTGATGCCCTCATTGACATGGTTTACATTATATAGGAGGCAGGCCAACCCAGACTGAGCAGAATACAACGTCCCAGCAGATAAGCCGAGATACTTTAAAAAATCCCCCCCTTACGAGAATCAAACTCGGGTCTTTTGCGTGTGACGGCATGCCAAGCCGCTTCATCAAATTTGTCTTTCATTTACATGTCTTGAGAAGATTGATCGGACATGGCCCATTAAAACAAAACATACTATTTTTTAAACCAAATCGAATCAGGTTCTGTCTATCTGCTATAGATTTCTCTATATTCAAAAGAATGTGAGTTGAATCTATAGCCTCTGTTCACATTCTGCAAAACTGGAAAGTTCTTATCCACCTTTATAACTAACATGTACTCCAGCTCCACTAGCAAACAATATCACATAGAGGATTTACTCATTCCTTCTTACAATCAAATCGAAGACGAATGTCTTTTATTTCAAGACTTTCGATTCCGAACTTTGTGCACCCCCTGTGAAGAATTAGAAGTGAACTGATAAATCAGAGGCCAGGCCACTACAACAATCACTAAATCGTAATTATCTCAACCCAATCACAGGCTAATCTAACGGGTCATGTATCTAAATAAATCATGGCTTTACGCTGAGCTTAGTTCAAATATTTAAGAACTTTAAAAAGTTTAATTTGCGGGACAAGTTTGTCGGAATCCAGATATACCGTCTTGTTTTGGAAGAAAGCACCTAACTTTCAATGATCTAACCCGAATTTAATTTGGCGTTTTGTACGAACTGACGTACAGAAAATAAGTAATGCCATCCCCTCCCCGTCTCTCTCTCTCTCTCTCCCTCTCTCTCTCTCTCTCTATCTATCTATCTATCTATCTATCTATCTATCTATCTATCTATCTATCTATCTATCTATCTATCTATCTATCTATAACAATGTAACTGTCTATAAACGGTCTAGCAATATTAAGTAATTATAATTCCCATTACGTTCTTCTTGAATAAATTTGTTGATATTATCCTGTTTTATCCCAATCTATCTCCCACCCTGCCCATCTATTTCCCTGTTTTCGTCATACACCCCCCATCCTCCCTCCCTTTCTTTACGCTGTCTCTTCTATTGCACCCTTTCCCAATCTTTTTATAACCTACCATCGCCCCCCCCCCCTTTCCATCTCATTCTATGTCCCCTCCTCTGTTTGTCTGTGTATCTGTCTGCGTGTCTGTCTGTGTGTCTGTCTATATGTCTGTCTGCGTGTCAGTCTAGTTGTCTCTCTTTTTTTCTCGTCCCCCCCTTCTCTGTCTGTCTGTCTGTCTGTCTGTCTGTCTGTCTGTCTGTCTGTCTGTCTGTCTGTCTGTCTGTCTGTCTCTCTCTCTCTCTCTCTCTCTCTCTCTCTCTCTCTCTCTCTCTCTCTCTCTCTCTCTATTTATCGATCTATCCATCTATTCATCTTATTCCTCTCAAACTCCCCACATCCTGTCTCCATCATCAGCCTTTCTCATTGGGTGGTTGGCGGATGCTTTGGTGTGGTTTGCTCCTTCTTTCCTATCAAACATCTATCCTCCTTATCCCTCCTCCTCCTTTTTTGTGTTTGTTACTCTCTTGTAACACCTCTAATCTTTGGCATTCACATGACCTTATTATGTTGCAAGTGCCGTACAACTCATAGGCCTTCTAAAACTTAAACAAGCCTTTCTCACCCTACTCCAGTTAGAGGTACAACCAACAAGAGCTCTGTACTCTGTCTCTGTACCCAGTCTTAAAGTCTTATTCCACCACAGTGATGTAATTGTTGGAGTCTTCGTCTTGCAGGCATCCGAAGTGAGTTTGATTCATATTTGGGGAAAATACCATATACTGATATGATATCTGTGGAAGGTTGGCGGGTGCTCTGGTGTGGTTTGCTTCTTCTTTCCTATCAAACATCTATCGTCCTTATCTCCCCTTCTTCTTTTTTATGTTTATTACTCTCTTGTAGCACCTCTAATCTTATGGCGCTCATAAGACCTTATGCAGTTGCGAGCGCCGTAAATCCTCTACTAAAAAAAAATAATACTGATATCTATGTCTACTGTATGCATGGCATGGTATCCTCCATGTTTCTACAACGCACGTGGGACATGAACCCTCACAGCAGCGCAGCGGAAAAGGGATTGGTGTCCCAGAAATACTGTGTATCAAAATTATTATGTTCCCCTTATTTACCCTATTTCTAATTCTAAATCAGCACAAGCTGTACAGGTAGGCTAAGTATCTAACAAATGACCAATACTTGACATTCGCCCCCCTTTAAAACGACAACAACAAACAAACAAACAAGCAAACGAACGAACGAACGAACGAAGATACAAACAAAAGAACAAACAGAACAATATTATTTTTAAAAGCCAATAACAACAACAAAGCATGGAAATTCCCGATAGATCTAGATCTAATCACACCTCATTTATAAATGAACGGATATTTTCCTTTCGGGGGTGGCAAAGTAGGCCTTCAAAACCCCATTACGTGACTCGTCTTCTGAACGCCATTGTCTTCAACAGTTTAGACACTGTAGATTCTAGATCTACAATCCACACATTCCCCAAAACAAAAACAGTACTTCGTTTAAAGACCTTTTCAAGTTCGGAGGCCGTAAAACTTTTACCAAACTGAATTGAATCGGATTCAGGGTGTAAATCTTCCATTTATGAGCTTCAACGATCTGCAGAGCGACTTGATCATGCATCTCTTCATTCACTTACTGTTGATGGACTTTCTGCATCAGGGCAAGACTGAGAGTAAGACAACTGCTTGTGTGTCTTCCAAAATAAACAAGAAGAAATGTTATACGTTTTCGTTTCGCTTCAATTTGTATTAATTTAGTGTTAACAAAGTTGGTCTTTATCTTTAATGCGAAAGTAAAAGTAAACAAGGAAAAAGTACTATGGCGTCAGAAAGAGGATTTGTGTTGTTTTTTGAAAGACCACATCGACACGATAACAGCTTTTACAGTATAAATAAAGCAAACTAGATTACATTTAGAAACAAGAAAGATAATAAATGCAGAAGGAGGATCAACTTGTGGCGACCCACCAACACGCCTATATCAGTACTCTACCAATACCCAATCCACTCCAACCTTTCTACTTTTCACCCTATCCACTACGCCTGAACGACCAATACCAATACCCCCCCCCCCCCTTTTTTTTTCCACCACCCATCGTACCCACCAGACCTACACCCATCTTTTCCTCCATCCCTACCCCACCCCGCGGCAACCTCTCCACCTCTACCCTTTGTTACTTCCTCCTACATCTTTCCTTAAACCCTTCCCTCAACGTCCCCTCAACGTCCCCTCAACTCACCTTACCCACCACCCACCACCCACTGAAATGATTTCCCCAACACCGTCCTCGAACTTCTCTACCGCTCACCTGTAACCTACTCACCAAACCTAATCATCGTCTTCTCAAACTTTTCTCACTAGGTCTCTGCTTATACCCAGTGCCCATTTGCAAGATTGGTTCGGTTCTGCTCCGTTCGGTTAGGTCGTTGGGGCTAGACAGATTTTCCTCTGTGCATCCTATGATATTATGAGAAAACTGGTGTTTGATGATTCGAAATGTTTCGCAACGTTGCCTTTGGTCTGCTGCTGGTCGGACATATGTGTTCGCTACGTCTTTAAAGAGTTCATGCTAAAAATGCTAACCAGGGGCGGTTTGTTAACTGGGCAATACCGGCGGTGTCGGTCAGATTTTTTTCAGCTGGACTGTTGACAGGAGATTTATTGCTGCTGATGATATTAATTCAGTTTTAAGTAAATCCAAACAAACATGTATCAGCATTCAAAAAGCACCTTGTCGATTTGAAGGCGGTCAAATAGACAACTGGGATTCACTGCTGTTTATTTATCGCGACAGAGCCTCATTCATTTCACGTTTGTTATCGCGCCGGCTCGTAACTTTAAATCGTGTCCCCTTCCATCAAGCCGTCACGTCGCGGAACTTAGTAGGCTACTACATACGAGGCCAAACACACGGCGGGCTTAGGCCTAGCGATGACGTCAGTCCCATGGACAAATCCATCGACAGCCCTGAGAAGAAATAGAGGGCATACCTTAAATGCCAAATTGGC